TTCATGACGAGACCACGATCTTGCCTTATTTTCAAGATTATTTTTTTCCCTTCTGACATATTTAATTATACTGCTTTAATCCATTTTGAAATACTGTGTAAATGTACAAGACTGAATTTTTTTTCTTTGGTCTTGTGCTTTCCGGCTGCACCATTTTCACACATTTTATGCTTTTTACTTCTACTGTTTATTGGGCTTTCTACTATTTATGAAGAATAAATCATATTCTCAAATTTATAGTTTGGTTTTTATGCAAATAAAAGCATACTCATTTTTTTTGTTGTTTGTATATTATATTAGACTTGTCTCAAGTTTCTGTACCCCGTTTTCCTCCACCCCTTTTCAGGTTTGTAGCACCTGTAGTAACTGGTGACTACCCACCAGTTATGCGAAAACTAGTTGGAGACCGTCTTCCCAAATTTACACAAGAACAAGCTAAGTTGGTGAAAGGGACTTATGATTTTCTGGGCATAAACTATTACACAAGTATTTATGCTAGCAATTCACCTAGCAAACCTGGTACAGCACTAAGTTACTCAAATGATCAGGGTATCGCATTATCAAGTAAGTATATGGACCTCGTTCTATAAATTAACCTTACCACATAGCGCTCATTCTCTCAATCCTTTGTAGGTGAGCGTGATGGGATACCTATTGGTCCAAAGGTATGCCTTTAACTGTCTTTTCTTAGAAAGAACACAAATTATAGATTGGATTATCAAAAAGTTATGCTATAACATATTTTCATAGAAGATGGAGCAATTTCAGCAACGGATTAAACTTTTATGCCTTAATTCTGAATCTTAAAGAATATTATCATTTCTTGTTGATATCAGGGTGGCTCAAATTGGTTGTCTATTGTTCCAAATGGGATTTACAAGCTGTTGGTTCATGTAAAGGAAACATATAATAGTCCCATCATTTACATCACAGAGAATGGTAAATTTATAGCATGTTTATTAGCCGTTCTCTTTAGAAAGATAATAAATGTTTTGTAATATTTACCCTTTTTAATGTGTTTTATTGGTTGACTTAATTCGTGTAGGGGTGGATGAAGTAAACGATACGTCCCTAACATTGTCGGAAGCTCGGTTTGATGAGACGAGAATTAAATATCACCAAGACCATCTCTATTATATTAAGAAAGCAATGGAGTAAGTCATCATTCTAATAACTATGTATTAGATATCGAAGAAAATAGTAAATTATGAAATTACTTAGCTATTATGTGAAAAAATAATTAATTTTTCTTGATTTTTTTCTTTCATTTACAGAGAAGGTGTGGATGTGAAGGCTTACTATATATGGTCAATGTTCGATACTTTTGAATGGGCCGCTGGATACAGTGTTAGATTTGGCCTTTTCTACGTAGATTTCGTTAATGGCAATTTCACAAGATTCCCCAAAGCCTCTGCTATATGGCTAATGAATTTCTTGAACAAGAAGAGAATCACATTGAAGAGACAGGCTCCAAAAAATGAAGAGGAGAATGGCTCTGTGAAAAAGGTTAAGAAGCAGTGAACGAACCGTAAAATTATTCTGGTCGTGTTTCATTAGAATTGATATGTTGAATGCTACGTGCAAGTGCTTTCCTTTATTTATTTATTTTTTTCCTGCCTTTCAAGTTGCAACTTTGTACCTTTTTTATTGAATAAATGGAACTCTTATTTTTATTTTTTATTTTTTAATGAACCACAGTATCTGTGGATTATTTATAAAACCCTTGCAAAAATGAAGAAAAAAATATAAAACTTCGGAAAGGGAATACGACTCGACCTCTAATCGATGAAAGAGATAGTGGTAGATTAACTAGTATAAACCGACTAGAGATCGAAGAAAAAGAAAATTTTTACTTTATAGTTTGCGTGCCATCATCACGTTAGCAAAAGTGCTTCTCCAGAAGTATTTATGCCTCTAAAGTTTCTCTCGAATTTAGAGTGGGCTTTGAACGGGCCAAAAATTTCAAACCTTAGCAAATACGGTGCAGTGCCGGGTGCTGAAGGGGTGGCATTTAGGCGCCGCAACGCTGTTAGTCTTCTACTTCTTCTGGCTTATCGTGGTGCTTGGGCATCATACTTTTGTTTCATCTGCATTGGTTAGCGCTTGGGTGCCCCGTTTCTTGTTCAATTACTCCACTTTCTCCAACTTTTGCACCATTTACACCACTTCACCTAATCTATAAAACCACCCTAAAACGCACCACAACGTTCTGAAACTCATAAGATCTAATAAATTATCAAGTTAAAATGGTACGAAATGCACGAGTTAAACACACTCAATGGCCAAGAGCCACACTTTACGTTTTCGAAGTTCACATGTTTCTATATTAAAATCATTGGAGTTACTATATTCAATTGTTTGCGACAGTCTTTCGCTTTATTCTTTTTTGGTGCATGTTATTATGTCAATTTGTTAGATGATGCAACCAAGTTGTTATGGGTTTTTTCTCTGAAACTTAAATCTGATAAGTTGAATTTAAGAGAGAAAATAAGACAATACAAAGATAATAGAATTGTATTGAATAGTGTGATTTGTTTACAAGAGATGCTAGTGGAATTGGGATTGGAGCATTTTTATCACAGGAGAAGAAATCAGTGGCATTTTTCAGTGAAAAACTAAGTGATGCTAGCCTAAAATGGAGTACTTATCATCAGGAATTTTATGCCATTGTTCGTACTCTAAAACATTGGGATCACTAGCTGATTCAGAGGGAATTCATCCTGTACACTGACCATCAAGCATTAAAGTATCTGAATAGTCAACGGAGTTTAAGCAATATGCATGCTCGGTGGTCAACCTATTTGCAGAAGTTTCCATTTGTTTTGAAACACAAATCTGGGGTTCTGAATAAAGTAGCAGATGCCTTGAGTCGACGTGCAAGCTTGCTGGTAACAATGCAACAACTAGTTATCAGGTTTGAGTTTGTGAAAGAATTATATGCTGATGATGAAGATTTCTCCGATGTGTAGGGTAAGTGTGTTCTGAAACAAATAGAAGGGAAATCCCATTTGGTTGATGATTACCTGTTCCGTGACAATCAATTATGCATTCCAAGGAGTTCTTTGAGGGAAAAACTAATTAGGGAGTTACATGGTGGTAGTTTGAGCGGTCACCGGGGCGTGACAAGACTATCAGTGGTGTAGCTGAGCGGTATCACTAGCCTCTGTTGAAATGCGACGTGGGTAATTTTGTTTGCAAGTGTTTTATGTGTCAGACTTCTAAGGGGCAAGCACAAAATACGGGTCTCTACATGCCTCTACCTATATCGAATGGCATATGGGAAGATCTGTCTATGGATTTTGTCTCAGGGCTTTCGCGGACTCAACGTGGGATAGACTCTGTGTTTGTGGTGGTTCACAGGTTTTCCAAAATGGAACATTTTATGCCTTGCCGGAAAACCTCTAATACGTCTCATGTTGCCCAACTGATTTTTCGCGAAGTGGTTCGTCTACATGGAGTCCCTCAATCCATCACCTCCAATAGAGACTCGAAGTTTCTCAATCATTTTTAGGTTACATTGTGGCACCGGATGGACACTGCTCTCAAGTTCAGTAGCACAGCACACCCACAAACCGATGGACAGACTGAAAATCTGAATCGAACACTGGAAATTTTATACACAGCATCTGTGGAGATAAGCCAAGGCAATGGGATATGGCACTAGCGCAGGCTGAGTTTGCATACAACAATGTAGTTAACACTGCTACTGGTAAATCTCCTTTCTGTTTGGTATATTTGAAGCCACCTAAACATGCTTTAGACTTGGCCCGTCTTCCCAAAGTCCCTGGAACCAGTACAGCCGCTGAGCACATGGCAGAACACGCTCGTGCTGTTTAGGCAGAAGTGAAAGCCCAATTGCAGGAAAAAAATGCAAAGTTAGAGGTTGCTGCTGATGTTAAG